CATTCTATTGCGGCGTTCCTGGAATAGTCCTCTCTAAACGAATGTCATCCGTAGCACAGAACCTCTTAAACTCCTCCAGCTCATATTCTCCACCATTGTCTGGTCTCAGACACTTCACCTTCAGATCTGTCTCGTTCTCCACCATGGCCTTCCACTTCTTGAAGACTCCAAACACCTCTGACTTGTGCTTCATGAAGTATATCCACACATTTCTCGAGTGATCATCGATAAATGTGACATAATATCTCGAACCGCCAAAAGAAGACACACTGGCTGGACCCCATACATCTGTATGAATCAACTCTAGCTTCTGAGCCTTAGGTGATCTTCCACCTTTCTGGAAACTAACCCTCTTTTGCTTCCCAAAGATGCAATCTTCACAAACCCCGACTTCCATGGCGTTGATCCCGGTTAGCTTTCCCTGTAAATGTAAGATCTCCATCCCCTTCTCGCTCATGTGCCCTAGCCTATTGTGTCACAGATCTGTACTCTCTTTGCCAGCTGCAATTGCGAGGGTGTTACTCACATATAAGGTAAGGTAGAGAGTTCCTAGTTTGTTACCTCGAGCAACAACCATCGTACCGTTGGAGATTCTCCACGAATCCCCTGTGAATATCGAAACATAGCCTTCTTCTCCAAGCTGTCCCACCAAAACAAGATTCCTCTTCAGCTTTGGTACGTGTCTCACGTTCTTTAAGGTCCACTTAGAGCCCTTCATCTGAATATGCACTTCGCCCTTTCCAACAATATTACATGGCTCGTTATTTCCCAAATACACTTTTTCAAAGTCACCTGCTACATAATTCTGAAAGAGTTTCATGCTAGCAGTGATGTGGAAAGAGGCTCCTGAGTCGATGACCCAAGAATCCGAGTCACTATCCATAGTAAGGATCAAGGCATCCTGCACGATATGAGCCTCCTACTCACCCGCATCCTTCTTTGGACTCTTGCAGACTGAAGACATATGACCCTCCTGACCGCAGTTCCAACACTTCCCTTTAATAGGTCTAACCTTCGAGTTCGACCTCTTCTTCACTGATTTCGACCGATTCCTATTCTGGTTTCCTTTCTTCTGGCTTCTGCCTCTCTGTTCGAAGTTTAGGGCTGAACCTGAACCTTCTGATTCGGACGATTTCCTTCTAACCTCCTCGGATAGAATCATGCTAACAATCTCACTCAGCTTCAACTTCTCATTCCCCGTCGAATTACTGATTGCCGTCACACAACCTGCCCAACTATCCGACAACTGCGATAGAATCAATAGGGCTTGCACTTCGTCATCAAACGTGATGTCTACGGAGATGAGTTGATCAACAATCATGTTGAACTCGCTGAGGTGCATCGTGAAGGACCGTCCTTCTGCCATCTTGAGGTTGAAAAGAGTTTTGACAAGATGCACCTTGTTTGATGTTGATGGTTGCTCGTACATCTTCGCGAGCGCTTCCATAAGCCTCATCGTCGTCTTCTCCTTTAATATGTTGTGAGCTACTGATTTGGCGAGCGACAAGCGGATTTGCCCTAGAGCCTTCTTATCCAATATCTCTCAATCACCATCTGACTCCTCTTTCTTCTGTCCCTTCTCATTGCCCATCAACGGGCGATACAAGTCCTTCTGGGACAGATAATCCTCCATCTGCGACTTCCAGTAGGCGAAGTCTGAACCGTCAAACTTCTCGATCTTTGATTTGATTTCCTCTGTCATGGCTTTCACACAAATTGCTGAACGAAGCTCTGATACCAATTGTTGGGGAATCCGAAACAATCAAATCGGATCATTGCCCTTTCGGACCTTGTGTTGAAAGTAGGAAAGTAGGAAATTCACCACAAATAAAAATTAAAACTTGTAAAGAAGATAAAGGAGACGAACACACAGATTTAACGAGGTTTGGCAACGTACCTACGTCCTCAGGAGCCACACCACACAATTCCTTTATTAATTGAAGAAGAATTACAAGCTCTCAAACTAGGGTTTTATCTCTCTGAGATTCTCTCTCTTTTCTGCAGTCAAAAACTCTCTTTTTTCGTGCTCTTTCAAACCCTAAAACGTTTGGGTATTTATATCAAACTCAGCCCAAACAGAATTCCTAAACATTTTAGGAAACTGTCAAACAACGTCGCGGTCAACCGCCAAGTTCCCGCGGTCGACCGTGAAAATCGACAGAGCCTAGAAAAGTTATAGGGTTTGACGCGGTCGACCGCCAAGCCAGGTGCGGTCGACTGTGATCAAAAGACAGAAACAAAAATCCTACAGGGTTTGTGCGGTCGACCGTCACGGTCGACCGCGATCAGCTCCAGACTCTCCTGAGCTCCTATGCACGTTCGCGATCGACCGTGGATCAGTCTGGCAATTTTTTTCCTCGTTCTGATTCCAGCTCCAGCTTCGATTTTGGGTCTACACTTTAGACTAACAGTTAAAGCATTACTTGATGACATTAATAGTAGCAATGATTATATAGATGTGGCCCATGTTGGTTATCCTCCGCTTTCGAAAACAAAAGGACGTCCCAAGCAGAAACACATGAAGAGTGGAAAGGAGTTGAGAAAGCAAGTGAAGACTTGTAGATTGTGTGGAAATGCAGGTCACAATTATGCTACTTGTTCGCAAAAGGAAAATGTGGAGTATGGTGAATTATCAACCAACAAGCGAATGAGAAATTGCACATCAAATTTGAATCCAATTTTATCAGCAAAATATTAATCAACATAAGCAAAATAATTTTTAACTTTTTGGTATTGATCGATCCTACATGAAGGTGAAAGTATTTGTCATGATGATGGTGATTTAGAACATTGTATTTCTTTTTGGTGGTTGTTAAGGCAAATTTTGTGATATATTTGATAATACTTTGATTAAGCTTTTTTAATTTATTATATATATAGGCCTAAAATCACATCATTCCCTAAATTTTTTTTGCGATCCGCTCCGTTAAACTTGATTTACACGTTCTTAAACCTAAACACACCAATTTTGAGATGAACCCGTCGTGTTTTGACCCTTCATCCACTCGCCGCAATTTTAACGGTTTCGAATGAATAGAGTTTTTTGGACGACTCAACGAATAGTCAAAACACGACGGGTTCACCCCAAAATTGGTGTGTTTGAGTTTAAGAACGTGTAGATAAGGTTCAACGGAGCGGATCATAAAAAATTATTAGGGAATGATATGATTTTAGGCCGCGTTCTTATGTGAGAGCCTAGGAATGATCATAAAAAAATATATATATATGCATTCACTTACGTCATCAAGTTGAGCAATTTATATTTCTCATTATATATTTTCTTTGAGCCTTTGTGGCACGTCAGTCATCAAGTTGAGCAATTTATATTTCTCATTATATATTTTCTTTGAGCCATTGTGGCACGTCAATCGGTGGGGAGTTATTTCATTGAAGAGGGATAATTAATTAGTAAAGGGATAATTAATTACTATATTAATTAGTACTTTAGAAAGAAGCATAATTAATAACATTTGTTTTTCTTATCAGGTGCCTTAGGGCACTCGATAAAAAAACCGATTAGGCTCTCAAAGACTTTAAAAAACTACTGATGTTCCTGAAACATTGGCTACAGTCATTAGTAGGCTCTCAAAGACTTAAAAAACATAAGGTATGGATATAAACGCTAAAAGACGTGATTAGTTCAAAGTAAATTGAATCTCTGCACAAATGAACAGGATTATGAGATAACTAGCATTGTTGCAGAATAAAAGTCACGTTTATAATTAAACGAGCACACAAAAGTTCTTCCGTACACATCGTGGAGTCAAGGCACAATATTATTTGATGATAATGACAATAATTGAATGCTTGCAACAGTAGCAGGAAATAATCATTTCACATTTCGAAATAACGACCATGATAAGTGTTATACCATAAAATATTTTATAAATGTCATGTCAATTAGGGGTGGTAAACGATCGAATCAAATCGAATACTAAGATGTTCATATTTGTATTTTTTTTACAATTATCGAATTTGAATGCGGACTCTAATATTCATATATGAAGTTTTTCGAATTCGAACTCAAATATTTGATATTTGATAAATATTCAATAAATATTCAAGAATACTTATCGAATATCAAAGTATATTTATTCCGCTAGAGAATTTAATTTTCAAATAGTATTTAAATTCATAAATAAAAATTATTCCTTGTGGAATTTCATGATTATGTAAATTGATAAAAATAGAATAAAAATAAAAAAATAAACTTTTTTTGTGGGATTGATCATCAACTCAATAATTTCTCTCTCAAATAAAATAATTGTCATTGTTTCCTTCAATCCAGACTGAGGCCACGTGATCTACTATTTGTGAGTTATAAACACATTGATTTAGTACAATAACTCTATTTGTTAGTATCTTGAAGTCTTCAAAAGCCGGGTAATCATTTAATTCGCGAATGAATTTTGCATATGAATTTACTTACATATGTCCATTAAACTTTTACTTGTGGTTTGACTCATATTCACATTAACTTTTTGTTATGATTTCACTCATATTTACGTTATCTAATATTCTCATTCAAATTTATAGCTCATTCTCCATATCATAGAAGTAAAACTGAAAGTATGAAGTATTATTTTTTTGTAAAATTAGAGCAACGAGATTATGATATATTCCGCCATGTGCTCTAAATACAAATTTAGATGACCCCAAAAAGTTGGGGTTATCTGGAAATAGATTCATAAAAATGCAAAACTTTTAAGGGTCGGCTGACATTTCCAGACAGTTTGGGGTTCATCTCAAAATGGGCCAAACTTCTTCGGGGTTCTATGAAATATAATAATAAATAGGTAACGCAACAATATTAGAAATTTAGGATGTATAAATAAGACCTGTTATCAGTATAACCATAAGTATAACATATTCAAATAATTGTTTGTTCAAAAAGAAAAGGGAAATGCAAAACACAAGCTACTTCTAGCGGACAGTGAGAATACTTTTAATCAGAAAATCTAAGCAAGTTGATCACTCCAGCATGTTGTATAAATAGGAAATTCAAAAAATTCAGAATATATTGAACACAAACTTCTACCATTCCTCGAGATCATACGGATAACATATAACATATACAATCGGTCGTTCAAATTGAAGATAAAATACAACATCCTATAGATAAGCTCATCTTACCAGGATAACGTACACTGCAACAAAATTACTCCCCATGTACACGTTTCACCAGCAACCAGCCTTCATAATTTTGCTCATTGCGCCACAATAAGTTCATCCATGAAATCAGCACCTGAGCTTTGAGGTTGCAACAAAATATCATCATCAGCAGTAAAATGGTATCTCTCTCCAATAGCCCTCAAAAGCTGATACACTTCAAACATTGTCGGCCTCTCCTTTGGGGTTGAAAGAACACAAGAAGAAGCAACTTTCATAACTTGAAGAAGTTCACTATCATACCCATGACCAATCAAGGACACATCAACAGCGTTTTGAATAAGTGAAGTATTTGAAAGATAATTGATCCACTCGACCAAACTCCCTTTAAAATTCTCCGGAGCATTCGACACGTGAGTTGGTCTTTCGCCTGTGACCAATTCAAGAAGAACAACACCAAAGCTATAAACATCGCCTTTTGGTGTGGCCACTAAAGTTCGAGCATATTCAGGTGCAACATAACCCAAATCACCAAATTCACCATTAACGAAGGTACTCAGATGAGTATCTATAGGATTCATGAGTCTTGCAAGCCCAAAATCAGATATTTTAGGATCATAGTCATCATCCAACAGAATGCACTTTGAACTAATGTTGCGATGGAGAATTCGAGGGTTGCAATTGTGATGAAGCCAAGCTAGACCTTTTGCTGCACCGATGCTGATCTTTAGTCTAATTGGCCATTCCAATTTTTTTTCTTCTGCTTCTTGAGGGTGAAGTGAATCATAGAGAGTTCCTCTGGGCATGTGTTTGTACACCAAAAGCTTCTCTTTCTTGGCAACACAAAAACCCAATAAAGGAACCAAGTTTCGATGCCTTACGCTTCCCAAAGTTGCCATCTCAGCTACAAATTGGGTCTCAGAATGCTGTGAATCTTGAAGCCTCTTGATAGCAAGGAAAGTTCTATCGGGAAGTGATGCCTTGTACATTGTTCCAGTTCTCCCAGTTCCGATGATGTTCTCTTTATTGAAATCGTTGGTTGCTGCCATGAGATCATTCAGTTTCATCTTTGAAATAGACTTCTCGAACATGGAAACCTGGTAAATATAACATTTTGTTACCATGGCTATGCAATAAATAACAAAATAAAAAGAAAATAGAAGGGTTTATGATCCTCCATGTGAGGTTCATTCAAAGAAAAGTGACAGGAAGATGAGGAAATACAACCAAAATAAATTGTTTTTCTTTAGACTGCACAGTCAATCAAAATAAATTATGTCTAGAAGCTGAGATAATCATGCTAATGATAACTTGTTATTGTATAAAATTATAAACCTCAACCCTGACCATTAACTTCTGAGTTGTGGCGTAGTGGGAGGGTACTTTCATGGTACCAGAGCAACCGAGCTTGAATCTCCCTGACATTGAAATTCTAAAGCCGATTTAAAAAAAAGGATACTTTCCAATGAGTACAGGTTTCGGCTCATGAAAGGGCCTTAAACCCACAAAGCATGTTAGAATATAAATTATAACCCTCAAGGTCTCAACCCTCACCATAACATTAGATTTCTGATGTAACCTTTGACGTTACTTATAGAATGATAGATTAATTTTTATGTTTACTTTCCTTTTCAACTGATGTATAAGCAAAAAGCCCAAGTTAACATGTTATATGGAAAGTGCAAACCACAACAAAAATACATAGAAAATAAGCTTGCCTTGACGCCTTTGAGACCCTTTAAGTTCTTTGCCCACTTGTTTTCTTCCTCCTCTTTCTTTTTCTTCTTGACCGAAATATTGCGAAGGCAAAAGAAGACAATAACTCCCACAACTAGAATCATGGCCACAGCACTACCAACAGCTGAACCTATGACAACCCCTGTATTGCTCTTACTTGGAGCTCGACATTCATCCAAAGGCTTCCCACATAGACCTGGATTATTCGCAAAATTCGCCGCCGGAAATGAATTATTTTTGAATTCGGGTATCGGGCCTGACAACAAATTATCTGCCACATTGAAATTATTCAATCGACTTAGACTAGACAATTGCCAAGGAATCATCCCTGTAAGTTGGTTACTTTGAAGATCAAGAATGTTGAGATAAGAACAATTTGACAAATTCATCGGTATGCTGCCCGAGAAGCTATTGAATGAGAGGTCGAGTGATGTCACAAAAGGTATCCTTTTAGAGATATCATCAGGTATTGGACCCGAGAACTTGTTATTAGAGAGATCGAGACCCGTTAAGCTCGTGCAATTTTCGAGACCTGAGGGGAAATGGCCTTGAAGGTTCATGTTGGAAAGCCTAATGTTTAGGACTTTGTTTTCATCGGGATGCCAACACTCTATACCGCTGAACCTGCATATGAACCCTTCGGTGCTGTTGTCAAAATTCCATGTGTATTTTAGGGTGTTATCTGGGTCTTTAATTGATTGTTGTAATGTTCTCAAACATTGAACATCGAGTTGAGAGCTATGGCATCTTCTGATTAGAATAAAGCAGAGGATGATTTGAAGTACGAAGAATTGGGCTCCAGCTTCCATGGCCGAAGAGCAAAAAGGAGAAGGATCAATATGAACCCTTCTTGAAAGTTTAAGAGGGGTTCGAACTTGGCTGAGCTTTATGTCAACCTCTCATCGTTACCTGATTCAGGATCCAAAAAGTGCCAATATTAGCTACGGAACATGAGTTATATAAAGTTTGTAACTTCAAATATGCAAGATTAGTTATGCAAGTTCTTTAATATAAAAGAAAAACATCAGACAGAAGAAGTTCTTCATTCACAGATCTGCTTAAAAACCAAGGAATAAAAAAAAGAACAGCAGGACAAACACAGATGGAGGAGAAAATAAAGCAATCAAATCTCTTCTTAGTGTCAGAAATAGTGAAATGCAATAAGACATCACTGCAGACAATCCTAACTAGTATCACTCATGAAATCAACTAAGACCAATAAATCTTCAACAAACAGTTCACAAATGTTAAGACTTCAGTTCATGACTAATAAACTGAAGTTCAACCGCCTATAAAATTGAGACTCTTTAAATTCAATTAATCCTAAACATTATCAAGAATATAGAAAGAGGTAATTCAATTCAAAACAGTAAAATGTATAGAAAGAGGTAATTCAATTCAAAACAGTAATTCAACTAAAAATAGCCACTCCAAAACATAATCACAAAGACTGGAATCCTCTTTTCTTCTACAATGAATAAGGTTTATAATTCCCATCCTCCAGAATTTTTAAATCAAATCTGAGACACAGAATGTTTCAAACATAACTAGAAACTGAAAATAGCAGCTAAAATAACAGGAACAAGACCCCCAAAACCAACCTTACAATAACCACAGAATTCAAAGGTCAACTTGTCCAAATATAAAGCATCAATTTTACAGGAAGGACAGCAAATTATCTCAGTATCCGAAGTCCAAACTTTACAACAACACATCAACAAATTACCCCACTCTCTCATGATCAAACATGTCAAATTCCAGGCTTTAGCTCAATTATCTCATTAATCTACCATAACAAACTCTATTTTAGACCAACAAGACGCCAAAGGATTGGAGAGGACTTCGAACCAATAACGCTAAAAAAAAAACAATCTTTAACTCAAAATCAGGTAGAACTGAGCTATAACTCACTTAGATTTTTCATGGTTTAGCAGAACAAGGCAGAAATGACGCAGGCCCCGAAAATAAACCCCATATTATCAGTTCCAACAGCAATTCAATAAAAGAGAACATTTTCAAAACATAACTACAAAGTCTATATATTTCCCCCTTTGATGAATAAAGTGTGTAATTCCCACCTTCAAGTCAGAACTACACAAATCGGAAATATAAGCTAAAAATAAATTAAGGAAAACAGTATCACCAAATTCAAAAAAAAAAAAAAAATCATACTGCCCACGTAAAAAGTCATCAATTTTTCAACAGGAGGAACAAGTTATCTCACAAATTAAACTTCAAATTCGACACTTGACATCAACCCATCAACAATTACTTACTCTTTCACGATCAGACATATCAAATTCCAATCTTCAGCAAAATTAACACCAACCCACCAAAACGCAAACGTATTTAAGCATGCCTAGATGACCAATAAGCTCAAGAAGCAATCTTTACCACAAAATTAAGTAGAACTGAGCCAATAACTCACCTAAAAACTCATAGTGCAGCAGAACAAGGCAAGAATGAGGCAGGCTCCCCACCAACAGAAACCCTAATTTTAGAGAGATGAGGAGGAGGAGAGAGAATGGGAACGCGGAGTTCAACACTGACCAAATGGAGGAGGAGACTTTCTCGTGCACTGAGTTTAAGTCTTCTTAATAATACACCTCAGCAATAAATTAGAAGAGAAAATTGTCCATTCATTCTAGGAAAAGATTCAAAGGCTCAAAGACAAATGTTATTCTACTCTCCACAACGAGCAGTACCATTGCTTTTATAAATAAAAAATGATACAGGCACACCCTCAGGCACATCACCGACCACACCCCCTCTTTATCTACAGTGCAGGGGACATCACATCAGATTTTTTAAAAAAATCTGATGTGATGTCCCCTGCACTGTAGATAGAGAGGGGGTGTGGTTGGTGGTGTGCCTGAGGGTGTGCCTGTAGTGCCTCCCTTTATAAATTTCTACTAGTGTGGGAAAATGTTTTTTTTAAAGACTTTTGTCATATTAGACCCCTACATCTTTCTTAATTGTAAATTAGATCCCAAATCTCATGTTTCTAAATTGGGACTTTTCAATATTGTCCCATGCATCTTTCATTTTCTGCAGTAGGCGCTCTTAACATTGAAATCGCTATTAGGTCCCTCAGATCTTAAACTATTTCGAATCTAGCCCATCATATCATCGAAATTGCTACTAGAACCCCCAATTGTTAAGTTATTTACAAATTAGTCCCTCCAATTAAGAGCATAAATAACAGTTTAAGGGATTAATTTGAAACAACTTATGAGAATTAGGGGGAAGTGATAGTCCATAACAACATATTTTATTTTATAATCCCTCCATTTTCTGCTTCTCCTCTTGATTGGATGAACTAATTTAGAAACAACTTAAGAATTCAGGACCTTATTACAATTTTGATGATTTGAGGGACTAACTTCAAAGTGGCTTAAGATTTGAGGGACCTAATAGCAATTTTAGTAATATGAGGGGCTAGTTCAAAATATAAAAGATGTAAGGGACCCACGTAGAAAAATCTTCTAAATTAGATCCCTAATCTTTAAATTATTTTAACCCCCCACCCCCCGGGCTAGGGTTTAACATTGTTTGGGAGTTTTACCAACCAAAAGAAAGGGAAAAGAAGGAAATAGAAAATAGGGTATGTGAAGCAAAAGTAAGGGAAGAGAAAATATACTATAATGTTTGATGAGAGTTTAATAAAGGGAAGTACGTGAATCATTTTTTAGTTATTGGATTCGTAACATGCTGGTGCAAAATCTTTCACCTCTATTTACAACCCAATTTGAGGGGAAATCATATATAATGAATATCTATTTTGGTGGATTTCATCACCCTCCTTCCCCTCTATTCTGCTAAAAAACTCTCAACCAAGGTGAACTTTTTCACCTCCCTCCTCTTCTTCTTCATTCACCCCATCCAAATTAGATGTAATAATAGGAACTGTTAGCGTAATTTTTTGGGACCGTTATGATATTGATGAACTAAAGTGATAAATGCAAAACTTTGAGAAGAAAATGATGATATTTTCGTTTATATTGTGGTGTTTATATACAAGACAAAGAGAAATTGCTCTACTGCTTTAACCAATGTGGGACTAAAGAGAGACTACACATATATAATATTTAACAACCCCCCTCCCCTCCTAAACTACAATTGGATCTATCAAAGGTGGTCTGCTAAGAAGAAGTAGATGTCATTGTATGGTGTGAGCCTTGGTGAAGAGGTCTGCTAGTTGGAGGCCAGTGTTCACGTAGGGAAGAATGATCATGTCAACGAGGAAGTGATGACGAGTAAAATGACAATCTATCTCGATGTATTTTGTTTGCTAATGAAAGATGGGGTTGCTAGCAATGTTAATTGTGCTCATGCTATCACAATATAGAGGAGTCGTAGTAGGAGAGGAAACTCCCATGTCAAGGAGAAGATGTTATGGCCAGACAATCTTAGCAGTGGTGGATGCCATGGCTTGATACTTGGATTCAACGCTAGAGCAGGAGACAACATCTTGTTTCTTGGACTTCCAAGAGATCAGAGAGTTGCCGATAAATATGCAGTACCCGATGGTAGATTTTTAATTTGTGACGTTGTCTACCTATCTACGTTACTATAGATACTAAGGGCGAGTGATGAGGATGCTAAGAAGAAGAGAGCTTTTACTAGAGTCTCTCGGATGTAGCGTAGTAGACGACTTAGTTTTGGAAAAACTTTACCGAGGTGGAGAATTGCTGGATAGCATGTTCCTAATATGTTTCCTAAATTGTTTTGGTAACAGGTTATTGGGATTCCAAATCTGTTTTGGTAACATGTTATTAGGATTTCTAATCTGTTTTGTTTTTTATTTTAGAATTCCTAGTATGTTTTTGGTTTTAGGATTTCTATATATATGGAACGATTGGAAGAGAGAATTGAGCAGCGCATGGGATATTTGGAGCACAGAAATGAGATATTTTCTGAGCTATTGGTTAGGGTTTTATTTGGAGAGAATTAGAGATTTGTTGGTGAGATTAATTAGTGAGTTCGAGTGATTTGTAATCTCAGTTTGTACTCTTCTTTTCTATTAGTGAAAACCCGATCCCCTTCTTGCCTCGTAGACGTATGCAACTTGTCGAACCACGTTAAAATTGATTGTTTGTGTTTGTGCCGTTATTTTGCATTGTTTGGCATTCTCTCGGCGTTTGTTTGATTTGGTCTCTCGAAGCATTTCTTTTAAGGGCCCGTTTGGTTGGTTTCCTAAAAATCAAGAAAAGGAAATCGGTACAAGGAAATCAATAAAATAATATTTTAACCATTTCCATCCCTAAAACTCACCCACAACATCTAATAAAATATTATTTTTATCTTCCAACTCATCTCATTTCATCTCCTTTCTTACATTTAAAAATAAACCAAACACAAGAAATGTGTCACATCATCCAACTCATCACAACTCATCTTATCCCATTTTTAAAAATCACACACATCATCCAATAATATTGTAACAACTCATCTCATCTCATTAAACATTCATTTCCATCCATTTCCTCAAAAAAAACAAGAAATTGGTTTCCTTAAGTACGTGTCACATCATCCAATAATATACCTCCAACTCATCTCATCTCATCTATTTTCCTATTTTTAAAAACGAACCAAACATAAACAACCTCAAAACATCATCCAATAATATACCTCCAATTCATTTCCTTATTTTTTTAACCAACCAAACAACCTCAAAACAATTTTTTTTTAAAATCACTCACATCATCCAATAATAAGTTGACAACTCATCTCATCTTATCTCCTATTCTACAATTTCTTTCTTTTTTAAACCAACCAAACAACCTCAAAACAAATATTATAGGAAATAGGTTTCCTATTCTTTGATTTCCCAAAAAAAATGGCCAAACGAACAGCCCCTAAAAGTAAATCTCAGTCTAAAAGACTGCCTTCTTTTTAGTAATATAGTCAAGAAGTTTGTCGTGAAAGATGTTTTTACCGTAGATTATTTTAGTGGGGAGTGGGGAGGGGAATCCAACAAGTTGGTCGTCAAGGTTGGTATTATCGATTATGATTATTTTCGTTGGTTTAATTATGATTGCTGAGACTTTCTTGTTAAATTATTTGTTTCTACGATATTTACCATCTTATATGTTACGTTAAGATAAAATTTCTTGTCAGCAAATTATTGATTCTTTTCAACTAACTTTTCAGAGATAAGAAGGCGTTATAACTCCTAATTTTACAACAAACTTTGCTAGGATACAATAAAAGTGTTTTTTCTTGCGAGATGGGATGCCATTCGAGTTTTTAATATAGAGAAACTATGTTTTTAACTAAGAAAAAACCCAGCCATAGGAAAATTTGACTCATGATCCTCTAGAAAAATTTAGAATGACACTACACAAACTGAGTTTACATTGTTTGGTTCGCCAGAGAATTGCAATTATAATTGTAGCCATAGTTTAACTGAATGTAGTTGAAATCACAACTATGATAATTATAAGAGTAGCCATAATTTTATTGTACTAGGTTTTAGCCACGTGCAATGCACGTGGTTAAATACCATAATTAAGTATTTTTAGATTATTTTCTAACTAAAATTTGTTTCTCAGTTCCACTTTAATAGCTTATGCTCACTTTTATTTCTAAACTTTAATATTGCGATTATTTATTTTCTTTGACGTTTGTTTAAATGGGCTACACCCAATTTAAATTCTAAACTTTAATATTGCGATTATTTATTTTCTTTGACGTTTGTTTAAATGGGCTACACCCAATTTAAATTTTCATGTTGATATTTGAATTGATAGAACGTTTGTTTAAATGGGCTACACCCAATTTAAATTTTCATGTTGATATTTGAATTGATAGAAAATAAATACAATTTGAAGCTAATTTAAATTTTTATAGTATTTTGACTGACATGATACCAAACTTTACTTATGAAAGTACAGTGTTACAAAAGTAAAAAATATTAAAATAATGTTATATAAGAAAGATGAATATTTAAAACCAATAAGTCAAAATGATTGGTTAAAAGTATACTAAAACGATACAAAAGAGAATATGAAGTTTGTTCCTAATCATTGATAAACTTCATAAGAAATTATTAATTAAAGATTAATGCTAACTCTAGTATACTTTCATAAGATAAAAACATCTGCATAAGCATATAAAAATACTGAAATAAGCTCATAAAACTCACTTCTAAAGATTCCTAAATTCACTCAAAATAATTAAACTATTCTATAAAATATTCAAATAATATTATTTTTTATTATTCCTGTTTTATTTTTTTTATTGAGCTAAAATCAATCATTTGATAACTCAGTTGTGCTTCTTTAATAGACATGCCTTATGTTAATGCCAATTCAAATGATTCATGGATGTTTTTTGAATTTTAGATTTATTTTCGTCACTTTCCTATTTGCAATAAAAATAGCTTGATTCTTTTGAAGAATATCTCTGAACATTCTGATAGTATCTCCATACATAATTCATTATATTCGTTTACTCTATAAATATTATTAACATCAGAGATTAATGATCCGCTCCGTTGAACTTGATCTACATATTCTAAAACTCTAACACACCAAATTTAGGGTGAACCCGTCATGGTTTGACCCTTCGTCGAGCAATGTAAAAAGTTCTATTCATTCGAAACCGTTAAAATTGATATGAGTGATGAAGGGTCAAACCATGATGGGTTCACCCTAAATTTGGTGTGTCAGGATTTTAGAATATGTAGATCAAGTTCTTACTCTATAAATATTATTAACATCAGAGATTAATATTTCTAAATTATAATCAATTAATGCTAAGCTATATTATAGTTTTTTTTATCATTTTTATGGATTTAAACTTCTATCAATTAAAGTTACTAATGTGTTTTGCTGCTCCAACTTATTAGTAAAATTTTATGCAGTTGCTTTAACTTATATGGTAATGATAATTTTAAGCTATAATATTTTTTAAATTTTTATTCCCTAATCGGATATTTTTAGTCAATTTTTATTGCTTTTGTTTACCAGTATCAAATTAGACTATCTTTAGATGCTAAAAGGGATAGTGTTTACCAGTATCAAATTAGACTGTCTTTAGATGCTAAAAGGGATTGTGTGTGTGTGTGTGTGTGTGTGTGTGTATGTATGTATGTATGTGTGTGTGTGTGTGTGTATATATATATATATATATATATATATATATATATATAACACTTTTCTTTGTCAAGTTTTAAAATTTTAGCATTTTTTATGGTTTTAAACTTCGAGGGTGTGATTTATAATTTTTAAAACTTTAGGAGTATTTTTAAAAAACTACTTTTAAGTTTGATAGTTGTAACTTCTATGTTTCATGTGTCGGTAGTAATTTTTAAATATCATGATTTTTC